TCAGCAAGCGGGTCTGGCCTAGGGAGAATTTTAAATAGGGACAATTTTAATTAGAATTTTAATTAACACAGCGGTAAATATTTGTTTTTAATTGGTTTTTATTGGGGATAATGTTTGTGTTGTTTTAATATGCTGTGAGCCGCCCTGAGTCCTGTTGGGAGAAGGGCGGCATATAAGTTTAAATTAATAATAATAATAAATAATAATAATTTGCTATGTGTGTCTCCCAGGTTGCAAGGGCAGGACATGTGTAGCGTGTGTTGACATTAGTCAGGGAAAGGGTGATTCCAAAATGAGACGGTTTCTCAGTCTTATCTACACGTGTAATCCCCAACTTACAACCACCATTGAGCCCAAAATTTATGTCGCTAAGCGAGACAGTTATTAAGTGAGTTTTACGACCTTTCTTGTCATAGTTGTTAAGTGAATCACTGCGGTTGTCAAGTTAGTGACACGGTTGTTAAGTGAATCTGGCTTCCCCTAATTGACTTTGCTTCCCTGAAGGTCACAAAAGGGCAGAGGTAGGCAACCTTGGCTCTCTTATGACTCGTGGACTTCAACTCCCAGAATTCCTGAGCCAGCATGACTCAGCTTGGAAACCTCTCCCTTTCCCCTCAGCATAGCTGACTCAGGAATTCTGGGAGTTGAAGTCCACGAGTCATAAAAGAGCCCAGGTTGCCCACCCCTGCAAAAGGGGATCACGTGACCCGTGGACACACTGCAACCGTCATCAATACGAGCCCGTCGCCAAGCGTCCGAATTTTGATCACGTGACCCTGGGGATGCTGCAGTGAACATGACCAACAGCCATAAGTCAGTTTTTTCCACTGGTGTTGTCATTTTGAACGGTCACTAAACAAATGGTTGTAAGTTAAGGAATACCTGTAACGAAAAAGGGCCTACCTTGCTCCATTTTAGGTGAGGAAATTATCCTTATAGCCCAAAAGAGGTGGGGCATCTAAACCAGTGGTTCTCAACCTGTGGGTCGGGACCCCATTTGGGGTCGATCGACCATTTCATGGGGGTCGCCAAGCAAGGCTGTCCGCCATTTTTTTTGTCCGCCATTTTTTTCCCCTTTCCCGGCGGGTGCCTTACCTCCCTTGAGCTGGGCCAGCTGGTGGTCGGCCTGCTCCGTCTCTGCCGCTTGCCAGCTACGCCTCGGCCGGCACAGGGGGCGGACCACGCATGCGCGGCGCTCCCGGGCAGGGAAAGTCCTCGACTTACGACCGGTTGGCTAGTCCTCGACTTACGACCGGTTTAGTCCTCGACTTACGGCTGGTTTAGTCCTCGACGTACGACCGGTTTAGTCCTCGACTTACGACTGGTTGGGGTCGCAGCATTAAAAAGGTTGAGAACCACTGATCTAAACCTTGATGGTTCCCCCAGGATGTCTCAGCAATTTGCACGGAAACAAAATTTCCTTTTTGTTTTTTTTTCTTCTCGGGGCCGATATTAACCGGCTGCATCTTTTCCTCCTTCGTCGAGACCGTAGTAAATTGTAATGGTTATTAAAAAAAAAAAATGGGTATGTCCAGAGTTCATTTCTCAGAAGCTTGTAGTAGCTACGTTTGCTTGCCAGCTCGTGTCGTTTCCAATAAATCATTGCTACCCATTCTCAGACAGAGAGTCATCCACTACCTGGAGACATGAGTAAGAATTCCACTTTTATTATCTCAGGATTTAAGCCGGGCTGAGGCCTTTTCTGAGTGCAGTATTCAGTTTCACTTCCCCGGCTCGCTTTCAGAAGAGTTTGCTGTTCTTTTTTTCCCCTGCTTCCCAGGTGTATGCATGTGGGAAATCTTAATGCACGGCATTAAGCCCTTTCAAGGGGTGAAGAACAACGACGTGATTGGCCGGATCGAAAACGGCGAGCGCTTGCCGATGCCGCCCAACTGCCCGCCTACTCTCTACAGCCTCATGACCAAATGTTGGGCGTATGATCCCAGCAGGCGTCCGCGATTTACGGAACTTAAAGCTCAGCTGAAGTAAGAATTCCTTTTCTGTTTGCTCGTATGTAAATAAGGCTAATTTTTCTCTGTGAAAATAATAGTCTTTATTTAGGGGGGGCGGGCGGTGATTGAGATACGGTGGCCTTTCCTTGCAGGCCAGGTTTTCATTACCCTTGATTGCAATTTGGAATAGCATCATTTTAAATGGAAGCAACGCACCTAAAGAATGTCGGAATAATTGCAGTTTGAATCCTACCATGGTAACATAATTGTCCTGCTTTATGTTTTTCTGACAACCTGTGAAGGGTGCCTGTTAAATGGCTGCCAAACGCCGTCTTTGGAACAAGCGTCCATCATGAAATCCTTGTTTCCTTTTCATAGTTCCTTGTTCTCGCATCGACCATGTTGTACTATTGTGTTTTATTGGCTGCAAGCAGAGATGGTCCCATTGTAGCATTAGGGCCATAGACACATTGCTTTTCTAATAATAATAATAATAATAATGATGATGATGAGGTCCCATTGTAGCATTAGGGCCATAGACACATTGCTTTTCTAATAATAATAATAATAATAATAATAATAATAATAATAATGATGATGATGATGATGATGATGATGATGATGATGATGATAATAATGATAATAATAACAATAATAATGATGGTGATGATGATGATGATGATGATGATAATAATAATAATAATAATAAGGGTGATGGTGGTGGTGATGTTGATGATGATGATGATGATGATGATGATGATGATGATGATGATGATGATGTTGGAAGGGACCTTGGAGGATAACTAGTCCAAACTCCTGATCAGGCAGGAAACACTATACCATTTTAGACAAATGCCTGTCCAGTCTCTTCTTAAAAACGTCCAGAATTGGAGCATGCATCACTTCTGGAGGCAGTATGTTCCACTGGTTAATTGTTCTCACTGTCAGGAAGTTTCTCCTTAGTTCCAGGTTCCTTCTCTCCTTGATGAGTTTCCATCCGTTGCTTCTTGTCCTGCCTTCAGGGGGTTTGGAGAATAGCTTGACTCCCTCTTCTTTGTGGCAGTCCCTGAGAGTTAATATAGTTAATGCTAGAAGGTACCGGCTGAAGAGTGCAGAGAAGAGCAACAAAGATGATCAGGGGACTGGAGGGTAAAACATACAAGGAACGGTTGCTGGAATTGGGCATGTCTAGTTTAATGAAGAGAAGGACGAGGAAGGACATGATAGCAGCGTTCCAGTATCTCAGGGGCTGCCCCAAAGAAGAGGGAGTCAAACTATTCTCCAAAGTACCTGAAGGCAGGAGAAGAAGCAATGGATGGAAACTCATCAAGGAGAGAAGCAACCTAGTGCACAATCACTTAAATATGAGCCAGCAGTGTGCTGCAGCTGCCAAAAAAGCCAACACATGCTAGGCTGCATTAACAGAGGGATAGCATCAAGATCACATGAAGTGTTGATACTACTTTACAATGCCTTGGTAAGGCCACACTTGGAATTCTGCATCCAGTTTTGGTCACCACGATGTAAAAAGGATGTTGAGACTCAAAAGAGTACGGAGAAGAGCAGTAAAGATGATTAGGGGACTGGAGGTTAAAACATATAAGGAACTGTTGTTGGAATTGGGAATGTCTAGTTTAATGAAGAGAAGGATGAGGGGGGACATGATAGCAACATTCCAATATCTCAGGGGCTGCCA